AAGTATTTATAGGTGTTGATCAGATCCCCCCTCAGCCTTCTCTTCTCCAGATTAAAAGCCCCAAGTCCCTCAGCCTTTCCTCAGCAGAGAGATGCTCCAGGCCCTTCATCATCTTTGTAGTCTCTGCTGTCCCCTCTCCAGCAGTTCCCTGTCCTTCTGGAACTGGGGAGCCCAGAACTGGTCCCAGTGCTCCAGATGGGACCTCCCCAGGGCAGAGCAGAGGGGCAGGATGACCTCCCTCCACCTGCTGCTCACACTCTTCCATATGCCCCCCAGGACACCGTTGGCCTTCCCATTGAGTACATCTGCCATATGCTCTCACAGAAGCAACTCCCTACTGGGAGCAACCAGATCAGGATTTGAGCCCCTGATTTAGATGCAATCATGGTCCTGTCTCCCACTAAATTTCCTCTGCTCCAAGCCAACAGCAGAGACAGACGTGTACCAAAGTCCCCTCTTCCCTGCTGCTGAGGAAGAAGAGTCCCATCCTGCATTCCTGGCCAGGGGGGAGCTCTCCCAACCCAGAGAGAAGTGATTTCATGCAACAGTGTGACAAAGGCATGGCTTAGTCACTGCCTCTGCGTGTGTCAACTCACGTGTCCAGCATGTTGGGGTCTGCAAACACCGAAAAGAGATCCTTGTCCTGTAGGACTCCTGGGAGGGACCAGGAAACACGAGGAGTAAGTAAAAGACAGGATACCAGAAACAGGAGCCAGTCAAGCAAGAACCATGGAAAAAACCCACAAGAATTAATTGTTTTTCAGGAACTGAGTCACTAGCAGACACCGTAAATACTCCATTATTGTTCTCTCTGAAATATTTTACGTCTTCCTGGGGTGACACTTGATCACAGCCACGCACACTCAAGGGATGGGGCTTTCCCAGTGCAGGTTGTGCTCCAGCTCCCCCAGTTTCACCTTAAGGTGGCAACCCACAGCGAGGTGTCAAAAGAGCTGGTAACATCCTAGGCCAGAACAAACTAGATTTAGTGAATGTTTTTGTAACACTTTGCAGCAGGGAAAAAACCATCCATCCCCACTGCTCTCCTTTGGGCCCCGCGTTCTCTAATCCTTTCCAAGGCAGTGCCCAAACCCAAACATTACCAACTTACTCCTACGCTCCACAAAGGAACCAAAAAAAGACACTTTCTGCAGAGAAGGGGAACTCTCCCTTCCCCATCTCAGGAGTTAAATAAACACTGACTATATTTGGCTTTCCTCAGCCCCTCTGGCTCACATCTGGACTCACCCAAAGCAACAGGGTCGCTGCTGAGGCCAGGAGTAGCTACGATGATCTGATCCAGCGACTCCTTGTTCCCCAGCATTTTGAAGACCTGCCAGAGGAATGAGAGCAGATCTGCAGCATCACGCAACAAAGCTCCTCTCAAGGACTCTCTTCACAGAAGAGGGGACAGACAGAAAGACACCCAGACAGCAAAGGATGAAGCCCCCCACTCACTGCATCTCTGTAGGCAGGACTGCTGTGCAGGGTGGTGTGAAGGACCCGGAACTCTCGTACTGCTGCCACCTTATCCACAGGCTCTGAGGAGGAAAAATAACAGAAAAGAACATGGTTGTCCCTCTGTCAGCTTCACGAGCCATTTTACACACTGCTGGGACTCTCACTTGATTCTTTAATTGCCCTGGATTCGACTGACCAAGAGAGGAAGGGCACAGAATAGTGACTGGGAGTGTCTCTGTACATTTACCACAGTGTAACAGGGAACCACGCTCTCAGCTTCCAGATACATAAAAATATACAGATATACCCTCCTACACATACAAAAAAGAGCTGGATTAAAGTAACAACTCAAAACTAACTCGGGCAGACCAGGAACACACACAAGCCTGCTCATTCCTCAAGCTGAGTAACCGGTCACATTGTTCCTGATTCTCTGGCAACACCCTAAAATTGGCCACAGTCGATTAAGGGATATTCACTCTCCCCATTACAAAGCTCATTCCCAGCAAGAAAAGATAACACCCATTTGCTGCTGTCAGAGGTGAAGAGCTCCCACACAAACATAAGGATCAATTCCTCCTCCTAACCCCACATCAGCCCCCCAGAAACAAATCACGAGAGAAGCTGTTCCTCGGTCACCAAACACGGCCTGAAGAGACCTGAGGGGTAACCCACGCCATCTCCTTCTCCTCCTCCTCCTCACCTGGCTTCTGGTCAGGCTCAGGCCAGCTCTTGCGCAGGACATGAACAGTGGAGCCAGACTGGATGCCATAAAAATCAAGTGTCTGGTCATCCCTCAGTTTACGGCCACAGTAGATCAGATCTAGGAGAGAGAGAAACACATAAAATCCCCGGAGAGGGACTTTTTGTCAGGAAGTGCAGTGACAGGACAAGGGGTAATGGTTTTAAATTGGAAGAGGGGAGATTTAGATTAGATACCAGAAAGAAATTCTTTACTATGAGGGTGGTGAAGCACTGGAACAGGGTGCCCAGGGAAGCCTCATCCCTGGAGGGGTTCAAGGGAAGGTTGGATGGGGCTTTGGGCAACCTGGTCTGGTGGGAGGTGTCCCTGCCCAGGGCAGGGGGTTGGAACTCAATGATCTCTAAGGTCCCTTCCAACTCTAACCATTCTATGATTCTATAAGAATAAGGATTCTATAAGAATAAGGTTTTTAAGAACTGAGGGCAGTCTGAGGGTATCTACTGCAGGCTCAGAAAGGGCCTGGGGTTTTTAAGAACTGAGGGCAGTCTGAGGGTTATTGCTCTGCCTCTGTAGCTTCCTTCCTCTGCTCCACAGCACAGGGATGTCTTAACGCAGGGAAATCATGGAGCTGAGATTCAGGGAGGAAATCACAGAGTTGAGGATCACAGAACATGACTTTGCCACCTCCTTTAGAATCACAGAATGATACAGGGTCAGAAGGGACCTCTGGAGATTATCCCCTCCAACCCCCTGCCAAAGCAGGGTCACCCAGAGCAGGTTAGACAGGAGCACGTCCGGGTGGGTTTGATATCTCCGGAGAAGGAGACTCCACCACCTCTCTGGGTGGCCTCTTCCACCCTCACAGGAAGGAAGATTTTCCCCCATGTTCAGACAAAATGTCCTATGTTCCAGTTTGTGCCTGTTGCCCCTTGTCCTGTCCCCGGGCACCACTGAGAAGAGTCTGACACCATCCTCTTGCCTCTTTAGATATTGCTCAGCATCAATGAGATCCCCTCTCAATTTTCTCTTCTCCAGACTAAAAAGACCCAAATCCCTCTCTTCCTCATAAGGGAGATGCTCCAGGCCCCTCATCATCTTTGTAGCCCTCTGCTGTCCCCGCTCCAGCAGTTCCTTGTCCTTCTGGAACTGGGGAGCCCAGAACTGGTCCCAGAGCTCCAGATGCAACCTCACCATGGCAGAGTAGAGGGGAAGTATAACATCCTGGACCTGTTCACCACACTTTTCAATGCACCCCAGGACACCAGAAGGGCTCATAAGAGATCTCACAAGGACACGTTGGTGTCGGCAAGTAAAAAAATTTCTTAACAAGGGCACTGCCGCTGCAGGACACAAGCAAAAACAGAACATTTGGTGTTGGCAAGTAAAATTTTTTAACAAGGGCACCGCCGCTGCAGGACACAAGCAAAAACAGAACAAACCACCTAAATACTACTCATACCAAGACTGCTGGAGCGTAGCAGGGGCTCTGGACCAAGCTTGGAACCCCCAAGCCGTGCTACCTGGTTGCACCAAGACTCCCCCCGCTGCCCAACACGACTAATAACAGGATGTTTGTGTCCCGGCTGCAGCAAGGAGAGCAAGAGGGTGGCCTCAAGCGGCAGGACTTTAACACGACCCACGCAGGGCACCTACCGATGAGCTCGGGGTCCGGGACGGACTCCTGCAGTTTGCCGGTGATGAGCTGCTTGAGGTAAGAGATGCTGCACCCACCCAACGGGCACTCTCCCAGCTCCGTCTCCGGCAACCGTAAGATGGATTTGGGAGCCAGGGGCTGATCCGCCAGCTTCACGGCGATGTGCCACTCCGGCAGGGCCATGGCAGCCTCCCCTCAGGCCCAGAAAGCTCTGGAAAGGCAGGAAAACAAATGAAAGGGAGATTCTCCCCCAGCCAAACAAAAAAATAATAATAAAAAAAACCCAAACTTATAATAAATTTGCTGGGGAAGCACGTAGGAAACTCACAGGAGGCCCGACCCCCAAGGCACAGCCGCGCTTTTCAGGCTCCTACCTCAGCCTTAGGCCACAGCGGGGAAGGCAGCAACACCCCTGCGGGCCTCACCGCCCAGCCGAGGGGGAAGAGAAGCCAAGAGCAAGGCCCGACGCGATTCTCCCCGGCAGGCACATCCCCCAGCCCCTAAAACCCCCGTTTCCCGGCACAGAGAGGGTGGAGATGAGGGGCTGCCCCCCCAAAAACACCCTCAGCAACTGCCCCTCAGCTCCCAGCCGCCCGCAGCCCCGGGACGCACCGGAAGCGGAAGTGCTGTCCGGCCGCAGCGGTGCGCGCTGGGAAATGGAGTCCGCCAGAGAAAGGCGGGGCCGTAGTACTAAGAAGGCCGCCCATTGGCTGGCCCTACCGCGCCCAGCCAATAGGCGACCGGCTGGGGGTTTAAAAGGGGGAGCGCGGCGGGCGGCGCCGTGAGGGCGCTGGGTCGCCACATCGTCTCCCGCCGCTCCCCCCCCGCCATCCCAAAAAAGGCGAAGCCGCCGCTTCCCCCGGTCACCAAAACATCTGCCAAGGGCCCGGCTTTTTTGTGACAAGAAGAGCTGTTTGCGTTCTAAAAAAAGCCGCCTTACCATGAAAGTCCAGGCCGGCCGCGGCGGCCACATACCAGCCGCGCTTCCCTCCCCGACAGCCCTGGAAAGGGCCCGCGGCTTCCAAAGGTGCCCTTACATGGTTTAGAAAATAAGAGTTTTGGGGGTAAACACTCCGCTAAGTCAGTGTGTGTCAAGGTCGGAGTCCAAAATTACATACGGGGCAGGAAATTCCCCGCCGTGAGGAGACACGAGCCCACCCCAAAAGAAGGCAAAAGAACCACTTGTGGTTTTTAAGCCTAAGAAGTTTATTTGTTTTCCTACAAAGGAGTCAGTTGTGACAAACCTAAAGGTGACAAGTCTAAACTTTAGTGTTATCCTACCAGTGTTAACATAGGAGAAGCGAGCAAGCCTCCAGAGGAGGAGGAAGAGGAGGAGGAGCAGCTTAAGCCAGCCCCAGGAGAACTACAGCCTACACTCGGTACCTCAACACATTGGGTTAAAACACAAACTAATTAACAGTCGAACAATTCTGGTCCAACGGAGGAGAAGGTTGACACCTCGGGTGACTGCCAGCAGCCCCTCTTAGAAGCACTTGCGATGGACGATGGAAGGGCCGGACTCATCGTACTCTTGTTTGCTGATCCACATCTGCTGGAAGGTGGAGAGAGAGGCCAAGATGGAGCCCCCGATCCAGACGGAGTATTTCCGCTCCGGTGGGGCGATGATCTTGATCTTCATGGTGCTGGGTGCCAGGGCGGTGATTTCCTTCTGCATCCTGTCAGCGATGCCGGGGTACATGGTGGTACCCCCAGAGAGAACGGTGTTGGCGTACAGGTCCTTCCTGATGTCCACGTCGCACTTCATGATGGAGTTGAAGGTGGTCTCGTGGATGCCGCAGGACTCCATGCCCAAGAAGGAAGGTTGGAAGATGGCCTCAGGGCATCGGAAACGCTCGTTCCCGATGGTGATCACCTGCCCATCTGGCAGCTCGTAGCTCTTCTCCAGGGAGGAGGAGGAGGCAGCTGTGGCCATCTCCTGCTCAAAGTCCAGAGCGACGTAGCAGAGCTTCTCCTTGATGTCCCTCACAATCTCTCTCTCGGCCGTGGTGGTGAAGCTGTAGCCCCGCTCCGTGAGGATCTTCATGAGGTAGTCGGTGAGGTCACGGCCAGCCAAGTCAAGACGTAGGATGGCGTGGGGCAGCGCGTAGCCCTCATAGATGGGCACAGTGTGGGTGACCCCATCCCCAGAGTCCATGACGATGCCGGTGGTGCGGCCGGAGGCATAGAGAGACAGCACGGCCTGGATGGCGACATACATAGCTGGGGTGTTGAAGGTCTCAAACATGATCTGGGTCATCTTCTCCCGGTTGGCCTTGGGGTTCAAGGGGGCCTCAGTAAGAAGGACAGGGTGCTCCTCTGGGGCAACGCGCAGCTCGTTGTAGAAGGTGTGATGCCAGATCTTCTCCATGTCATCCCAGTTGGTGACAATGCCGTGCTCAATGGGGTACTTCAGGGTGAGGATGCCCCTCTTGCTCTGGGCTTCATCCCCTACATAGCTGTCCTTCTGCCCCATGCCCACCATGACACCCTGGTGCCGGGGGCGTCCCACAATGGAGGGGAACACAGCACGGGGGGCATCATCCCCTGCAAAGCCTGCCTTGCACATGCCAGAGCCATTGTCCACCACCAGGGCAGCGATCTCCTCATCAGCCATGCTGACCGGGCCTGAGGTGAGCAGGGACACAGAAATGTCACCGAGCCCCTCCCCAGAGGGAACACAGCAGGAACATCAAGGAGCCCTGAAACTATGGAGCCCCCACATCCTATACACTAGGAAGGAATTAATATACTAGGAAGCCTCAAAATACACAGATAGAGAATGGTTCAGGTTGGGAGGGACCTTAAAGATCATTGAGTTCCAACCCCCTGCCCTGGGCAGGGACACCTCCCACCACACCAGGTTGCTCCAAGCCCCCTCCAACCTGGCCTTGAACCCCTCCAGGGATGGGGCAGCCACAGCTTCTCGGGGCAACCTGGGCCAGGCTCTCACCACCCTCACAGCAAAGAAGTTCTGCATCACATCTCAGCTCCATCTCCCCTCTTTCAGTGTCAAACCCTTCCCTCTCCTCCTAGGGCTCCCCTCCCTGATCCAGAGTCCCTCCCCATCTCTCCTGGAGCCCCTTGAGGGACTGGAAGGGGCTCCAAGGTCTCCCTGGAGCCTTTTCTTCTCCAGGCTGAACCCCCCCAACTCTCTCAGCCTGTCCTTACACACATAACCCCTAAGGGGATAAAGGCAGACCCTCAACTGCTCCCCAGGGAGCTGAGGGGACCCCCCCAACACACACCCAACACCCCCCCTCCATCGCAGACCTGAGGGAACAAAGGAAGGCCCAGCCATGACTCACACACCCACCCACCCTTCCCGCCTTTCCTCAAAGCGGGGGGGCCTAAGGGGGCAGGAGAGACCTGACCAACCCCCAGAGGAGGGAGGAGACCCCCCCTCAGGTGACCCAGCGCCTCAGCCCTCACCTGCACGCGCTCCCTCCGCCTCTACCGGTGTCTCCTCAGCGACTGCCCGCCCGGGCCTCGCGCGCCGCCTTTTATACCCCCCGGAACCGGAAGCCGGCCCCCTTCCCGACCCCCCTCCCTCATTGGCTGGCGGACGCTTCGCTCCCGCCTACTTTCCCTTTCCCGTCGCCGTTTCCGTTGCCGGGGCCGTACCCGGAAGCGGGGCGGGAGCTTCCGGTGGTGGGGAACCGCCTCCGCCGCCCCGTTTCCGGGCTGAGGAGGGGCGGCGCGGGGAAAGAGTTGAGGGGAAGGGAAGGAGGAGGAGGAGGAGGAGGAGGGAGGGGAGGAAAAGGGAAGAGGCTGCGCTACGGGCGGAGCCGAGGAGGCCGCGCTACGGGCCGGCAGCGACCTGCTCCCGGGGCCTGTGTGGAGGTAACGGCTCTGG